AAAAAAAAAAAAAAAAAAAAAAAGAACGGTGAGCCATTGGTGTCCGTGATGGAACCTACCAGAATTCCCTTTGCCATGGCTAATTTTAGCTGCGGGTTGGGTGTTTAGTGCCTTCAATGCTCTACTGAACAGTTCACATACCTCTCTGTTCTCCACCATTTGGAAGGATGCTCTGGTGGTGGACTTTCGTTAAGGCGCTGTGAACAAATACACGTTCCCTGTTACTGACGGTAATGCTACGAGTACGTTCAAAGGAAAGAATGAAAGGTACATTGGTAGGTGTGCATTTGAGAGATGCAGGGAAACACAGTATAGGGGACCGTCCGGGAGCGCTGCTGTGGCATCTTATTTTACGTATTGTGATCTCGCCACTGAAGCACTTTTCTCATAAATACTGACACACGTGTATGCATTCTTTCAACGATTCTTTTGAGCACTTACTTTGTACCCTGTTACGTTAAATGCCGGGCTACGGATACGATGGAGGTAGGTGCAACTTTACATAGGATGGATAGAGACGGCCTCTGGGAGTAGGCCAGAACAGCTAGGCTGACACCGTCGTGATAAGGAACCAGCCGTGTAAGCCAAGTTATTAGGGGTAAGCACTTCAGGCAGAGGGAATGAGAGGGGAACCAGCCCTCGGCTTCTTTAAGAGCAGTGCCTGGAGACGTCCTTGGTTGTCTGGAGACAAAACGGGTGCCGATGCTACTTGTACAAGTTGCTAGAGGCCAGCCGTGCCGCTAAACGTCCTGTGATGCACGCACAGTCCCCCGCAGCAGAGAAGAGTCCTGCCTGCCGTGTTAACAGCACCAAGCTGGAGAGACTGTAATTGGGAGTGGTATGAGGGCCGGCATGGGAAAAAGATGGGCAAGGCGAGATTGCCAGGGAACCGGTCATGTAGGGGCCTGTAGGCCACCATTTGACTCTTTCATAAGACGAGTGGAAAGCCATCGATGACAGTATTTGATTTATGCTTTAAAAAGATCTCTGAGGCTACTCTCTAGTGAATGGATTATGGAGGGGTAAGTGTTGAAAGCAAAGAACCGTTTTAGTGGTTCTCACTGCGGTTGAGAGTAGAGATGGCCGGTGGCTTGGATCGGAACACTGAAAGTTGAGATGCCAAGTAGTAGATGACCTTGGATAGATGTCAGAGCCCGTGCTGGCGGCACTTGATGGACTGGAAGCATTTTTACTTGTTTTTATGTCCTTGGCTCAAGAAGAAAGGGATCAAAGCAGAGGGCACTCAGAAATGGTTTTTATCTAATATTTAGCAGGAGGAAAAAACTTTTCAAGTCTGTCAGTAAAAAACAGAACATTAGACTGATTTTCTCTCCTTGTTCACTTTACCATGAGCCCCGTTTTCAACACAAATGAATTACTTAGCAGTTTTGTATCTCTTGGTTGGTACCTCTTTCTCGAAATTGAAGAAGGTTGGCATTTAGTAGAGTTCGAGGCTGTTGCAGCCAGCACACTTACATTTGTCTTGTGTGAAACACACTTCCATTTTCCCTTTTTGTTGATATTAGGGTTGCTGAAGTATAATTCCTGTTTTGTTAATAAAAAAATTCATTAAATTTTTTTTTAATGTTTCTTCATTTTTGAGAGAGAGAGAGACAGAGCGTGAGCGGGGGAGGGGTAGAGAGAGAGGGAGACACGGAATCCGAAGCAGGCTCCAGGCTCCGAGCTGTCAGCACAGAGCCCGATGCGGGGCTCGAACTCACAAACTGCAAGATCATGACCTGAGCCGAACTTGGACGGTTAACTGACTAAGCCACCAGGCGCCCCTAAAAGAATTTCGTTGTAATAGTTCTTCCTGATGAAGTATTTATTGTTGGGTTTAGCTTTTTTTTTTTTTTTTTTTTTAAATGTGTATTTCTGATATGGGAGGAAAGAGGGGTGTGAGATAAAATGGCCTTTTTTCTTTGCCAGTGGAGGAAATTTTTTGGTTGAGAATTTTTGTTGTTTCAGTGTTCATGCATTGAAGGTGATTCATTTCAATTGGAATATTTCCTTGAGTTTAGGAACTTGATTTAGTTTCTTGTTACATTTTTCAACGCATGATTAAAAAGAAAAAGTAAACATCTTTATAGTTAGACACTGGTTTCTTAGCTCTCTGACTAGCTGATGAGCAAATATCCTTTTCCCCCCTAATTATGTGCTAAGCTCTTGTAACTTTGTTTTAATTATGGTAAATCTCCTTGAACGGAGAAGCTTAATGTCAATGTTTTCTTACACTTTCTCTTTAAAGAAATTTCCATATGAAGAGAAATTTTGTTGTGACATGTGTATCTCCATGTCTCTTTGTGCTAGAGAATGAAAGTGGCTCAAGTAAATAGCAGTTTATTTAGAATATCAGATTAACATGAGATCGAGTAGAATGCAATTTGGAAAGTCAATCTTCTGCAGAGGGTACCTTCAAATGTGAAAAGGATTTTGAATCTGTATCTTTATGCAGGTATATCCAGTTTGCCTTACTAAGTTGTGCTGGCAGAGACTGCCTTTCAACTTGCCTAAAGTAGACGCCCCCCCCCCCCCAATATGGTACTCGTGTGCTAAAGATGTCTGCTGATTGAATCTTACAAAATTTTCTTGGAATTGTTTATACTCACATCAAAGACAAACATGAAAGCAATTGACTTTGTTTCCTCTTAGCATTTTGTTGGTTTTACTTAAAATGAGTTTCTGTAAATAATTATGTTGGTACTATATAGTGAAATAAACTAGCTGAAAATATTTAAAATATAATCATAGATTTAAAAGTGGGAGGAAAGTCTGCCTCAGTGGTAACAGCAGCAGCCTCTCATGCCATTTTCGCATGCTTCTCTGGACTTGTTGTTTTGTTCCTGGGCCACACTTTGAGATTTCCAGCACACTCTGGATTTTCTTGTACTCGTCTACCCGAAATGATTTTCAGATTTCTTAAATACTGCATTACTCCGTAAAGCTTCTGTTTATGAGTCTAAGTCATAATTTTGGATATAGTAAAGTTAATATTTTACTATTTTTTTTTGTTTTAAACATAAGTATAAAATTACATTTAAGTATAAATCGGATACTCGTGAAATGATAGAACTGGGCTGTCACTGGATCTTGATTTTGATTCTGTTTTAGGGAGTTACATGTTAAGTTTTTGATAATGTAGAGGTGGATTTGAGCTTACACGTAACGAGGGAGTATAGAGTTGTGTATCGTGTGAAAATACTCAATTCTTTTTCACGATTGTGTGGTTGATTTCACAGTTACATCATGAATTTTGCAGGTCTTGGAATGGCTAGGCTTTCTCCCCTTCTACTTGACACCTGCATTTACATGGAAAATGTAGTGTGGAAATGGGTATGGAATGGGTATGAAATGGGTATGGAAATGGGGATGGAAAATCCTCCTCTATGCGGATGGGGAGCAGAGTGGTGGGGGGCTGGAGTGGAGCTGCCAGGGAGGGAGGGGACGCTTGGCTCACCCTGGCGTCTCCTCGGTTCAGGGGGTCTGGAGCGGGTCAGTCGCACTTAAACAGCCCTGCTTCCAACTGGCGGGCAGCTCTCTGACCTTCCCGTACTCGCTGTGTATTCGTGGTGTGCTCCTGTTCTTTGAGCAGCGCTGGACTTGTATGTTAATAAACTTGCCAAAATACATGTAAACAGTGACAATGTACTCTACAGAACTTTTATATATACCCTCGGGTTCTACTTTATAACTTAACATCATAAAATATCATCATTTTTCTCCTACAGAATGATCTTAAATGTAATCAGCCTCTAATTCAGAAGCCACAGTATGTGCATATGGACAGCTCAGGACTTCAGGAAAGAAACACTGAATTTTGTAGGTAGAGGATCTTGTGTAGAATTTTCTATTGTTCCTAGGTTATTTTTCAAATTTTTTTTTAAAGCAGAGTAATAAGTTATAAGTGGTGTTCTCCCCAGATACTTTATGTATAGGTAAACAATGTTACAGAGGACTCACCAAGCCAAGTGTATGACCGATACTTTGTTCTCTGATGTTTATGTCTGCTTAGAATATTTTAGTTATTCGGTAAGTATATAGCCATAAATCCGGTGATTAAAATAGCTACTTATGAAGTGAACTGAAGGAAAAAACCCTTATGTGCATTAGCCTTTTAGCATTAATTGTCATGTTACTAAAATATTCCGTGTGATTTTTGATAAACATACAACATTTCCAGGTTTAACATTTTCCAGGTTTAATTTAGAAATTTGTGGTCACTCATTGGGTGCCTGGAATTTTCCATATTATTCTTCCTTTTTTGGTGGAAGAACCTTTGAAAATGTCTTTAGTATCATATGTTTTGTGTATTTTTTGGAAAGAAATATAACTCAATTAAAAAGTATATCAAAACCAGTTCCAAGAAAAGAGGAATTCTTTATAGCCAATTG